AACATTGGTCAAACATAGCAGGTAAAGAAAAATAATTAGACAGTATTTTCACAATAAAAATAAAAAGAAACAAAGAAACAAAGAAAAATAATTAGAGAAAACAAATGTATGTGTATGGCAAGACATTTTTCTATCTCCTATACTTCAAGAAAAGAGTAACTAATTGAATGAAGAACTCTGAAGATTATTTTCTCAATGTCTTGAAAAGTTGAAATAAGTTCCCATTATCCCAGAAGAAAAACATTGGACCTCTTAGAGGTTAGGGATTTCCTATGTGCAATATTTCCCTGATTTTTTTTCTCTTTTGGGAAAAGTCACTCAGGGAGAACGAGATATATCAGACAGGGTTCAATGATGCAACCTGAGAGTGATGTCTTATAGCTGCAATAATTTATTTAGAACTAAATAAAAATTAATTTGAAGCAGTAAGGACCCATTCAGGGACCCAGTTTCCCTAAGTATTGTATGCAGATTAGCAGGACCAGCCTTATCTGGCAGCTTATTAAACAGGAGAGTCCTTGGGTCTGTTCCCAGATCTATTGAGTCTGAAACTCCTGGGGTCAGACTCAGATTTTTATGGTTAATGAGCTCTTCAGGAAAGTCATTTCTACATGGTTGAAGTTTGGAAACATCTGACACTAAGGGATTTGTTATAATGAGTGATGAGGGACCCACAGAGGGCTGCCTCTGTCAGGTTTCAGGGCTCTCTGCCTCCCTCCAAATGCTCATGGGTCCATCTAAAGAAATAATGATGTGTTCATTTTGGAATTCATTAAAGAAAATAGTCTGAATTTATCTAAATGGCTTTTGGGAACAATGCTTTACATGTTTATCAGCTGCCATTTCTTAATGCTTCTATGTCCAATGCTTCTATGCCCCATGTGAGAATCCAATATTTATCATTTTTTTAAATTTTATTTTATTTTATTTGTGAACATACTGTACAGAGGGGTTACAATTGCATGGGCAGGATAATGCGTACATTTCTTACCAAGCATTGCA